TCTCTCTATTAAACCACTTCCTGCTGAGCCCTTTGTGTCTGCTCTTAATTACTTTCTATTGGAGGGACTTTTCATTTAGACCCAGGCCTCCCTCCCTCACTACAGATGGGGCCCGCCGCACTGTTTCAGAGGCCAATTCATTCAGTGGAAGAGAATGGGAACAGTAAATATACATCAGAGAGAGTCTTTAATAAAAGTTTACTTCAAAAGCAGTTCACCTCCCCTGGGGCCTGGACAAGAAGACTCATCATTGTACTCCACACTCCTAATTCAAGATGGATTAAAATATTTCCTGACCAGTGCGCTCTCATTCTGATGAGTCTGCACAGCAACAAATTGATTACTCCTTACTATTCCTTAGCAAAATATTTTATTATAAAATGGAGGGTTTGAAGTAAATCACAGCCATTTGTCTGATTCTGACCAAAACGTCATTCAAACGCAGAAGACATTTCCACTGAAATATCTCTATGATGTGTTTGACTTTATGTGTAATTGACAATCCACTTGTCAATCCAGCACATTGGGACTCAGGTGGGAAGAATTGAGATAGAATCAATAGAGAATAATGTGGGAGTTGGTCTTTGCTGACCAGTGGTTATATACCATGTTAACTGCTCTGATAACTAACATCAGATAAGTCACATCAATGAGTCAGTACCCTCTTGTAAACTGTTCACTTCTCAGGCACTGACTCATGAAGTGATCAGTTGCCTTTGTGTCAAAGCTTCCTGGCACTACAACTACAAGTGTTGGTGTCTAAAACCAATTTGAGTTTGCTCATTAAAAATAAATTGCAATGTGCTTCACGTATGGCACTTCAACACACCAACAGGCTGTTGTTTGCTAAAAGATTGCCATGGTTATGTATATTGTTGCAGTTACCATGGATACATACAAGCCCCAGTCCTATCAACAACAAAAGCTTGGTTTTGTCCATTTCAACACGTTTGCATATGCAATTTTTTTAATTGCAAAGAGGTAATCCCCAAATGATGCTTGGGGCCAAAATGCAAATAGATGATTTTAAATGATGTGTTATCAAGACCGTCCATGTGGTACCCTTTAATTGGTCTGCACAGCCAAATGTGTACAGTAGCAGACCTATGACTTTAGGATTGAAATTGCCTTCATCCATCCATATATGCGTCCACATAATTTTCAAAAATGTCCACCTCATTATGTAAACATGCAATTCTACTTCATTAAGAGACTGTATTATTATTCTTGTTCAAAGCCCTCTTGTCCTTGCAGTGGAGGAGCAGCTAAAGCCCCTCTTAAAGGCTGCAGAGGAGCCACCTGCCTCTCCTGTTTGATTTGTTGTTGTTAATCCAGGGCTTGTCTCTGGGTCATCTCCTGGACCAAAGCCCCACTCTGCTGACTCAAGACATCTAGGCACCTCACCACCAGGCTCAGCGATAAACTAGTGAAAACGGACTACAGAATCAATGCCATTCCTGGTAATCTTCAGTGTAAAAGTTGACAAAACCTCGCTAATTCCACAAACACAAGATCTTATCCCTCACTGTATCTACCCCAAACAAGAGCTGAGCCAGAACAAACAGGTTCCAACAACAAATAATATCTGGTGGGCATTTTCAAAGAATATGCTACAGTTACAGCGATACACACTGGGAGACAATTGCTTAAAAAATTTAGACACAAAAAAAAAAAGTTAGAAGTTATCCAAAAAGAGTGAGGTCTTCTTAGAATAAGTGACACAAATACAGGAAGTAATAGTACAAGGAAAATATATGGTTTTACTGTGCTTTTAGATGCTCTGAAACCAAGCCCCAAAAGGTATCCAGATATCAATTAATTAGTCCAATCAAATAATATTTTATAAGGTTTTGGTCACTGCTGAAAGTGACTGTCGCATAATGTCAAAACTGACATTTCCACAGTTTGATTAGTTAAAGTTGAAATGATACATCTCTAGCCACTGAGAATAAAGAAAGTGCTGGTGCTTCGAGATAAAGATGTACTACTTGAAGGGCATGCTGTTGGGAAAGTGATATAGAATAAATATTATATAGTTTTAATGCAGTTGCCCTGATGCCCTCTTCATCTCCCTCAGTCTAAGCAGGAGTCATTTGCTGAGTCAGTGCTGTAACCTGCTGCAGTCTGGCTCTGTGCCATGGGAGCCGTTTGTTCCACATATTCACCACACAGAGCCCCACTGAACTCATGACATCAGTGTTTCTGAGCGGGGACCAAACAGGAGCAATTTGAAAAACAACAACAACAAACTGCGTCAAACTGACAATGAACCAGTCATCTGCTTCACTGTGTAATGTTTACCTTTGCTGATCAACACTCATCATTTCCATTTGCTAAAGTAAGAAAGCTGTGAGACATCAGCAACAGTAAATTTTATGGATTTACAAGTTGAAGAACACACAACCAACCCTGTACGCAAACATTGCAACAGATATAAATTACACTGTTATAAACTCTACACAAAACTAAAGGTTTAATCTTGGTGTGGCTGCTGTATTAAATGACAAGCCAGTATCAACAATAATATAATAAGGTGCAATGTTTAACTTTTCTGGTAGAGATGCCACCATCTTCTTGTTCCCATTGAGAGGTTATTGCTTTGCCTGAAATGTTCCACTGTATTACATCAACATGAAACATATCTAATTTGCATTTAAGAGGTATTTAAGGCTACGTTAATATGATGAAGGTCTGAATAGAAGATGCAAAAGTGGCATCATGTCTTCACTTTTTATTCCATGTTTAGATGAGGGTTTTTGGGAGGAAATCTGCGCGCATATGGTGATCCAAAAGTGTGTGGAATGGGATTGGGTATGCATGCCAGGTTTCTGTGTACTGTATGTATGTGACGTAAATGTGTACACGACGTGAGCAGATCTGACCAGAGTTTTGCATCTTGGGCAGTGTAGATGGAAACACTACAGCGGAGAATATTCAACTTTTCCACTCTGGAGGTTGCTTTCAGATTTTGTTTTTAAGCCCCAAAAACACCATCACCATCTAAACGAAAGGCACTTCCGATAAAATATTTTGTTTTTACCCGCAAGCATTCTCGTGTAAACAGGCCCTTACACACCAAAAAGAAGGCACACATTCTCTCTCTAAGCGTGGTTGCCTCTCCACAGATCTTACCAATAACTCGGCCTTACCTATAGCATCACCTGCTTGTCTCCATGGAGATAGGCAAGTTTAAACCCACACTGTGGAACAATATGCAATAACATCTCGGGGAAAACAAGCAGATGGCAACCTTCCACCAAAAATGTGTCACATAGTGTTCGTTTAAGTGAGTTTAAGACTTCAAAACTCCATTCTTAATTAATTTGCATACTT